GAGCGCGGGGGCCGCTTGCTGCCCGCCTCAGTCAGACACCGCTCCGCTCCGGCCTCGGACGGAAAACAGTCCCCAGCGCCACCTCCGCGGCCGCTGCTACCGCTACTGAGCCAACAAAGGGGCGTGCGTCACCGCGCCGCGCTGCGTCATCGCGTCAGTCCTCTGTGCGTCACCGCGCCACGCCCCTTGGCCCCTGCGTAGTATACGGGGAGACCCCACGGCCGGGCCGGAGGAAGGACGGGAACGCGGCGGCGCAGCGGTGGCCCGGCTGGACTGAGAACCCGCAGGTCCTTGACGAGAGGAGGCTGAGGCCTTCCGGTCGCGGGGAGGGGCCCGGGAAGCGCCCAGGCAGAGGTTCTCGCCGCGGGCCTTCCTCGCTTCCGGGCCTCACCGGCACTTGTCGCCCGCCGTGGCTAGTTCCGGAAAGCCATCTGCTGCTCAGCTAAAATTCCGGTTGCCCGAGTCACTGCCTGGAAGGTGGTAGTACGAGGAAACTCCAAATTGTGTGACAGGTAGTTGGAGTGTTGCTCTCCACCCGTGTGGATCTGCAGTGGTTCTCGGGGCCCCCTGACGTGACGTCATCGTAAAGAGCCGTTTCCTGAACTCATCTTGACAAGCACTTCTTAAGGGTCCTAAACAATGTGAACGCCAATGGCTTTCCTCAGTTGATCACTATGGGCCTTCCAAAGATTAGTCCTAGTGCCCACGTTATAGCAGAAGCACATGAGGCTCTAAAACAGAAAGACAAGAGTGTTTGTAGCCCTGTGGTGGCATGCTTGCCCATCATGCACAAAGGCCCCAGCAATGGAGCAGAAAGGCTTTCTGATACATACTATATATTACATGCAATATAAAATACAGTAATGATTCCAGGGAACAATACAGGCAAACCGCATCTACAAGAACCAAATGTAGCAAGAGAGACTGCTTATCTGGAGGGATGCAGAAGTGAGCTGTGTTGATGGATGGAGGAGGAGGGGAACATGGCCTTGCTCAAAACAAGGTTCACAGTAGTTAGAACACTGAAAATTAAAACTCAATTGGTAAATGGGAAATATTGGGCAAATTAATTAGAGGTCATGACAAAGCATTTTATGCCTTTCCAACACTTGGCTTAACTTGTTTTATTTGCTTTGGACCTTGTAAATAGGACAGGAGAATCGGAATTGTTTTGAAGGGAGCAAAGGCATAAGAAGCCTCCTTCCGGTAACTTGAAGGATTGGCCAGACTGAAAACCTTTTAAAAGCTGAATCCTTAATTTATTGAAAGGTTTAGCAAGTAGATACAGTGCTTAAGATATAGATTCCTTTTAGAAATTCATGATATATATATCATGTTCCAAAGTGAATATTATATATATATATAATGCCTGTATTTATTTATTTGTCTATTTTGTTTTTAAATGATCAAATTTATTTCCTTTAAAAAATACGTCTATTTACTGAGTTGGGGGCATGGCATGTGGAGGTCAGAAGAGAACTTGTGGGAGTCAGCTTGTTCTTCTCACTGTGTGGGCTCCAAGAGTAGGAGGAAAGCCATCAGGCTTGGTGGACAGTGCCTTTCTGTACCCACTCAGCCTTTTTTTTACTTTTTTGTTTTTTAAAATGTAGCTGTAACTCCTGACCTTCCTGCCTCTGCCTCCCAAATGCTAGGAGACATGCACCACCATGCCCAGGCCAAATCAAAGTTCTTAACGTCAGCTCTAGGTTATCTTGGCCCTTTGAGTCAGTGTTTCTGTTTAGCAGTTATAAGTTGTTGGCACAACTGGGGCAAGCCGCAGACACAAGCACCCTCTGTTCTCCCCCATCCTCCTTGTGTTACACCTGTGGACGTAATTCAATACCATTTGTGTGTTCATTACTTCTCTTCTTGTTGTGACAAAATAACACAGAAAAGCAAGTTGAGGAAGGAGGGGATTGACTTGCCTCACAGTTTAAGGACAGGGTCTACCCTAGCAAGGAAAGCATGGTGACAGAAGTGTGAGGCAGCTAGTCACATTGCATTGTATCAGCAGTCAGGAAGCAGAGAGAGATGAATAGTGGTGTCTAGATCACTTTCTCCTTCTTATTCAGTCTAGGACCCCAACCTATGGAATGTTACAGACCATATTTAGGGTCTCAAACCTTAATTATTGTGTCTAGAAAGTCCCTTATAGACATACCCATAGGTTTAGCTCCTAAGTAATTCTTGGTCCAAAAGTTGATGATATTAACCATAACAATTTGTCAAGACCTTTGCATCATCTTTCTTTTAATAGTACCCTACCATCCACGTCCTCCTTTGGGTACTGAAGTAGCTGGCCACAACCCAAAAAAGACTTAGCAATATGCACTCTGTTACTGAGTTTCAATCACAGAGCACAGCTGAACCCTCAACACTACTCCATAGTACTGATACATTTTAAATTTTGTTTTGGTGCTTGGACCTACTCTTCATACCTTTACTAGTTTCCCAGACCTCCAACCCAGCAGTGTGTGTGGTGGTTCACACCTGTAATTCTAACAACTCTGGAGACTGAGGATTCAATTTTGAAGCCACACAGCTTGGGCTCCATGGGGGGACCATATTTCAAACAAAAACAAGCAACAACAAAATCCAGCCCAAATTTGCCCTTTCCAGTCCTCCCAAAGCACATGAAATTAAGTTATAGTAAAATGTGAAAATATCAGGAAGGACCTTATGTAGTCAAGAGTTTCTCTGGTCCTGGCAGGCCCCATGATCCTGCAGCCGCTTATAAAATAATCACTCAGGCTGGGCGGTGGTGGTGGTGCACACCTTTAATCCCAGCACTTGGGAGGCAGAGCCAGGTGGATCTCTGTAAGTTCAAAGCCAGCCTGGTCTACAGAGCAAGATCCAGGACAGGCACCAAAACTACACAGAGAAACCCTGTCTTGAAACCCCACCCCCCCAAAAAAAATCACTTAGAGGCTTAATATGAATTACAAACTGTATGGCCTATGGTAGGCTTCTTGCTAGCTAGCTCTTAACCCATTTCTATTAATCTATAAGTTGCCAGACATTACTGGTTTGCTGGCATCTTGCTACTCCTTTGGCGGCAGCTGGCATATCTCCCACCTGTCCTTTTTTTTCTCCTTATAGCTGCTTAGATTTCCCTCCTGACTCTAAGCTGCCTTGCCATAGGCCAAAGCAGCTTTATTTATCAACCAATCAGAGCAACACATATTCACAACAAACAGAAAGACATCCCACAGCAAACATATTTGAAATTTTGATACTTGAAAATATCTACATCATTGAAATATGCTGAGCAGCTAAATACTATTAAGGATTAAAAACAGAAGGCAGATAAGGTGGGGAGCAGTGGAAATTATAGACCATCCTAAGATGTTTACATTAGGGCAGTGTTTCAAGCAGAAGAGTAAAACAATATGATCCTTGTTCTCAAAAAGGTAACTGGGTACTTCATAGATCATGGGCTATAATGGCAACAGCTAATTATGAGGCTATCTTGGAAATCCAGCTGGAGAATAATAATGGCTTGAAATAGTTTATGGCACTGGAGATAAAAGTGGTTAAGTCTGGGTATACTTTAAAAGTAGACCCAACAGGTTCAGCAATGAGACCACCAGAATACCTCTGGATTCCTGACTGCAGACACAGTGTGAGCCTCCTCACAGTCATGTGTTTCCCTGCCATGGTAAGACTGTATCTGTTCAAACCATGAGCCAAAACAAACACTTCTTCCAATAGGTTGATTTTGTCAGCTATTTTTGTCACAGCAACAAGAAAAGTGCTATAGAAAATTGGTCCTGAGGTGCAGTAATGCGCCTCAGTGGTTCTTGGGCTTTCGGGAGGAATTTGAAAGATTTTGGCACAGGAGACTAAAGAAAACTTAGAATATTGTAAGAAAAGCTTAAAGGGCCATTCTGGTGAGAGTTTGGAAGAAAGTAAAAAAAAAAAATGCAGTGGAGGCCAGACTCATGAGGCTTTGGAGAAGAACGAGACTCTTAATGGCTAGAGGCCACTTGTGTTTGAGTCTAGCAAAGAACTGGAATACATTCTGTCCATGGCCTGAAATTTTTGAGTAAGACTGAATTCTAAGGTAATAGACTAACTTGTTTGGTAGTAGAAATTTCAAAACAGGTAACATCCAGGCTGTGGCACAGTTCCTGCTCACAGGTCCAACCATGTGCAGGTCTTATACAGATAACCACAACTGCAGTTCATGAATGCAGTGACTAACAAGTCCAGGGGATGACTTTTTGTTACACATCTCCCCATTCTCTGGCTCTTACAATCATCCCTCCCCTCCTTCTGCAGTCACCCTTGACCTTTAGATGAGATGGTACAGCTGTCCTGTTTAGAATGAGCCTTTGAGGACCAGGAATGGAAAGATGTGTTTTGATGTAGAGTTGACAAATAGACTTGTGACAATCATCTCCATCATTAGTTTGACTATTTTTGGGGTCACCTAATGGACACACCTCTGGGCATATCTTTGGTATGTCTTTGAGAGAGGTTTAACTGAAGAGGAAGGCCAACTCAAATATGGGTGGCACTGTCCCGTGGATTAGAATTGGAATCCCACACAGAAGAATAAGGGGGAAGGGAAGAAGCCAGTGAATACCAGCACTCATCATTATCTGCTTCTGTAGCTTTAGTTTTCCTGCCTTGCCCACAGTCAGGACAAATCTTTGTCATCCGCCAGTCCCACAGCCGCTCAGACCAAACCAAGTAAGCACAGAGACTTATATTGCTTACAAACTGTATGGCTGTGGCAGGCTTCTTGCTAACTGCTCTTATTGCTTAAATTAATCCATTTCCATAAATCTATACCTTGCCACGTGGCTGGTGGCTTACCGGCGTCTTCACATGCTGCTGGTCATGGCGGCGGCTGCAGTGTCTCTCTGCCTCTGCCTTCCGCTTCCCAGAATTCTCCTCTCTCCTTGTCCCACCTACTTCCTGCCTGGCCACTGGTCAATCAGTGTTTTATTTATTGACCAATCATAGCAATACAGACATACAGACCGTCCCACAGCATGCTTCCTAACTGCAGAAGCAATATAACCAGCCACTTCATGCTCCTCCTACTGCCAGGCCTTCCTCTCCATTATGCACCATATCCCCTCGTGCCATAAGCCAAAATAAAGCCTTGCTTCAAAGGGGAAGATTGCCGCAATTTGACTGTGTTTATAGGGAAATCAAGGTTGCCTACAAGACTTAGGGCTTGACCAGCTGAGACAGGTGGTAACAGTTACTGAAGCACATTGTTTTCCTATCAGGCATCAAGGCAGAGTTATTAAGTAGACAATTCCATGTACTAATGTTCAAAACAAAATAAAAAGAGTTAGATGTGGAGATAGGATTTTACAAGGGTTGACACCGTCAGTACTGAGAAGCAGGATAGGATAATGGTAAGATACTTAAGCCGTGGAGGAGATAAGAGTGTACCTCTGCCTTGAGTTTCTGTCTCTAATCTTAAGAAAATTTTTGACTCTCTATGAGCTTAACTTCAGGGGATCATAACTCCTAGTCTCATAGAACTACTCATAGCAACAGAAGCATAGCTCTTCTTTTTTTTTTTTCCAGAGCTGAGGACTCAACCCAGGGCATTGCGCATCCCCAACCCTTAGAAGTGGCTCTTTAATAGAACATTTGCCTAGCATGAGTGAAGCTCTAGGTACAATTCCCAGTAACACACACACACACACCATTTGTATCAAATGAAAAACTGCATTAAAGTACCTAAGGCCAGATGCACACCTTTAATTCTGATATTTAGGAGGCAGACACAAGTGGATCTTTGTGAATTTGAGACCTGTATGGTCTACATATTGAATTCCAGGACAGCAGGGACTACCCAGTGAGATCCTGGCTCAGAGAATAAATAAAATATTAGACTCAGTACCTAGCATATAGTTAAGCTCACAAAATTACAAATTACAAAAAATTGCCAAGGCAGTGGTGCACACCTTTAATTCCATCACTTGGGAAGCAGAGGCAGGCAGATCCTTGAGTTCGAGGCTAGCCTGGTCTACGTGAGTTCCAGGACAGCCAAGGTTACACAGAGAACTATGTCTTAAAAAAACAAAAACAACAACAACAACAAAAAAAAAAAAACCCTGTCATAATCACCTGCACCCTTGGGAAAACTGTGACCATTTAGATTTAAGCCTTGAATTAGTTTTATTTTAATTATGTTATTATGTATATAACCTAGATCCTCCTTTTTGTAGGGTGTGTGTGTGTGTGTGTGTGTGTGTGTGTGTGTGTGTGTGTACTTGTGTGTATGATATATATTCATGTTGATATGTGTGTGTGCAGGTATACATATGGACCAGAGATCAACATTAGTTGTCTTCCTCGATTGCTTTCCACCTTCGTTTTTGAGACATGGCTTCTGACCAACATTGGAAATCATCCATTTGGCTAGGCTTACTGGCCAGTGAGCTCCAGGGATCTGCCTGTCTCCACCCCTCCAGGGCTGGGGTGACAGATGCCAGATGCCTACCAGCCATTTCACATGAATGCTGGGGATCAAGTTCAAGTCAGGCACTTTACCAACTGAGCCATCTCCTAAGTCTCTCATCCACAACGTCTAGAAGAGAAATTCATCCTTTTTCTCAGAAACTCTCTCTATGATCTAATTAATCTTTTAAAAACTAATATCATAAGCAGTGTCAGAATGGATCTGAAGTTTTGGTTCTCCTACTCTAGAATAAGCTTTCATAATCAGGTTCTTGGCAATAGTCATTCCATTCATATTTGGAAAATATCTTAGATTGAGGTTAGCTTATGGTGTATGGTGCTATTTCAGGAAAACCAGTAGAGCAGCTTCTCTAAGGTCCCATATTGGCCAAGGGATGACCTACATACATTATTAGGGTTTTGTTTTTCCTTTTAATGATTTGCTCTGTAAGGTATTGCCTGTGTTATTGTTGTCTTAAGTATGATGATTACTGGGTGGAAGTATAGTACTCAGTAAACAACAGGACATGGTACTTGGAAAAAGAAAATAAACTAATACTTCCTTGGTGCAGGAAGGAATCATTTTTGGTAATGCAGTACTCTCATCCCTATATGTGAATGAGGGCAGAAATTACTAGCACCAGGTGGTGGTGGTACATACCCTCTCCTCCCAATATACGCCTTACTTCTCCTTCATCATTTCTTGTTTGAGTGTTATTTGAGAGAAAGTCTCACTGTGTACCCCTGGATGGCCTAGAGCTCACAAAGAGTTCCACCTGCCTCTGAGATCCCACCTGCTGGGATTAATGGTGTTAGCTGCCATATCCAGATTTTCTTATGTTGTTTCTTTGTTTTTGAGACTGAGTCTTGCTATAGAGCTCAGGCTGGCCATAAACTTGTAGCAGTCATCATCCCCTCTCTTAGTGTTGAAATTATAGGCATGTGCCACCACAACTGAAAAGGGTATTTTCTAATAAAGTTCAAAAAGACTTACTTCTCTACGGGTCCCAGTTCCTCTAGCTTATTGTGTTGCCTTGTGGATGTATTTGAACAAATGAATGAATTTGTTTGCACTTGCCAAACCAACCACATACTCTTTTTTGCCATTGTTTGGACACATATCTCTGTATCTCCAGGTGGTTCCATACTCTCAGACTAAAGAAATTGTCGTCTGACTTCCACATATTTGCTGTGGCACATGCCTTCAAATTCACACATTCATGTGTGTGTGAGCACACAAACACACACACACATACACACACACACACACACACACACACGGAATAAATAAATAAATATAATTCAAAAAGAAATCACATTAGGCTTTCTCCAGCCTCAGCACTTTTTAATCTATTGTTTCATCTACCTAAACTCTCTGCTTATCTAATCTGTGTGTTTCAAAACTGCTGTTTTTCAAATCATTCCAAACTTGGCACTTAAAAATGTAGAATGTGAATCATACTTGTATCTCCCATTTGCAACAAGAATCCATGCGTTTGCTAGTATGGGGTCAATTAATTATAAATCTGAAGCTGTAGACCAATAGACATTTATTGACTTCTTACCTCAAAGTACAGTAGATTTTGCCAACATTAAATAAACATTGGTGTCTCCTCTGCTAATTCTTCTAGGTTTCCATGAAAACTTGAAGGCTAGAAGAAAGAGGAGGGGGAGGCCGAATGTCCTTTGCTTCTGTACCACTCCTTATCTGGGATTTCTCTGAGGCACGTGTCCATCTCACCTCACACATCTCCAGCTTTTGATGCTGCATTGCAAGTTAAGATTGAAACAGAAATCCAAACAGACAGGAGACAAAGCCCAGAGTGCAGCTTGCTTGTCACTGCATGAAGGACTGCAGATTGGAGTGAGCTGCCACAGCCCAGAAACATCAGTGCTGGGTGTGTCCCCAGAACACCAAAGCTTACCAAAATGAAAAAGCTTGTCTTCTGTCTTTTACTTCTTTTGGTTTTTTTGTTCTTCTGGTATCTTCTTTTGGAAACAATACCATGATTTAAAAGTCATAACAGGGCTTGGGACAGCTCAGCACTACAACACAAGCCTAGCAAACACAACGGCCTGTGCTCAGTTCTCAGCACCCAACAGCTACAACCAATGGAATCACCTCTTCCAACTCCAGGAACCAAATGTCACCTCTTCCAGTCATGTCTCAAGAGGGCAGAGAACAAGTTTCTCTATACCCTCAGTCAATATCAGTAGAGTAATAATGGAAAGCTTATGGTATGTGACTGCTTGTCAAGAATTCTCTATGAATTGCTTCACATTTTGCTTTTATGAACAGATAATTTTGCAGGCAAGATGGCTCAGTGGGTCGACATTTCTTACTGAGACTCATGGCATAAGCTTGATCCCTGGGACCCACGTGGTAGAAGAAGAACCAATTCCTGCAAGTTGTACTTTGACCTACATATGCACATGTACATATATGCATGCACACATAATAAATGCAAAAAAAGGGAGTTTAACATGCTTAGAAGTTGAATAACATACTCAGCTGCCAAAACACTAGAGTTCCCACTTTAAAGAGTTTATACTGAAATCAATACATTGTCTCTCCATGTTACTAAATAAAATGGCCTCAAAGTGCTGTCTTAGTTATCCAGTTGGCTTATTTCTTTATACAACACAAATTAAGGTATGTGTGGGTACATTTTCCAAGGCATGACAAAGCTGTGAGGCTTTGTAACTTTCTACATGAATATAGGTGGGAAGTTGCAGGTGGAAAGGATCAGACACACAGAGGTATGTTGTAGAGAAGTAGATATTCTGAGAATGTTTTTTCTTTGAGGTACTGGAGATTTGAACCTAGGGCTTTGCAACTAAAATAAGCCCATTCCCTTTATTCAGCTATCTTTATTTTTTTGTTTTTTGTTTTTGAGTAAAACCAAAGCTTATTCTAAGCCACAGTCATCCTAGGGTCCCCCCTACCACATAGCCTCCCTGGTTCTGTGGGTTGCAGTCTGATTGTTCTTTGCTTTATATCTAAAATCCACTTATGAGTGAGTACATACCATGCTTGTCTTTCTGGGTTTGGGTTACCTCACTCAGGATGATATTTTCTAGTTCCATCCATTTGCATGCAAATTTCATGATGTCATTGTTTTTCTCTGCTGAGTAGTACTCCATTGTGGATATGTACCACATTTTCTTAATCCATTCTTCAGTTGACGGGCATCTAGGCTGTTTCCAGGTTCTGGCTATTACAAATAGTGCTGCCATGAACATAGTTGAGCATGTTTCTTTGTGGTATGATGGAGCATTCCTTGGGTATATGCCCAAGAGTGGTATGGCTGGGTCTTGAGGTAGATCGATTCCCAATTTTCTGAGAAACCTCCATACTGATTTCCACAGTGGCTGTACAAGTTTGCATTCCCACCAACAGTGGAGAAGTGTTCCCTTTGCTCCGCATCCTCTCCAACATTGACTATCATTAGTGTTTTTGATCATAGCCATTCTGACAGATGTAAGGTGGTATCTCACAGTCATTTTGATTTGCATTTCTTTGATGATTAAGGATGTTGAGCATTTCTTTGAAATGTCTTTCAGCCATTTGTGATTCTTCTTTTGAGAATTCTCTGTTTAGCTCTTTAGCCCATTTTTTAATTGGATTGTTCAGTATTTTGATGTCTAGTTTCTTGAGTTCTTTATATCCTTTGGAGATCAGTCCTCTGTCAGATGTGGGCTTGGTAAAGTCTTTTCCCACTCTGTAGGCTGTCTTTTGGTCTTATTGACCATGTCTTTTGCCCTACAAAAGCTTCTCAGTTTCAAGAGGTCCCATTTATTAATTGTTGTGCTCTGTGTCTGTGCTGCTGGTGTTAAATTAAGGAAGTGATCTCCTGTGCCAATATGTTCAAGTGTACTTCCTATTTTCTCTTCTATTAAGTTTAGTGTAACTGGATTTATGTTGAGGTCTTTGATCCACTTGGACTTGAGTTTTGTGCATGGTGACAGATATGGATCTATTTGTAATCTTTTACATATTGA